TTATTTAGTTCAACTATTTGTAAATTTCTCTTGAATCTTCTTTTACCCTTTTTTTTTAGTAATGTGTTGGGCAATCTCCAAATACTTGGGGATTTTCCAGCTATCTTTCTGTTATTGTTTTCTAGTTTAATTCCATTGTGATCTGACAACATACTTTGCATGATTTCTATTGTTTTAAATTCATTAGTGTGTTTTATGGTCTAAAATGTGTTTCTACCTGAAACATGTGAGCTTAAGAAGAATGTGTATTCTGCTGCTGTTGAATGAATTATTCTATAAACATCAGTTAGATCAAGTTGATTGATAGTGTGAATTCTTGGGGAAGAACATTCTAGAAAGAAGAAAAAGGCCTGAAATGCCAAAGGCCTGAAATCAGAGTCTTTAGGGTATTCACAGAACAAGGAGGCCAACTGCCAGGAAAGAGAGAACATGAGAAAAACTAATAGGAGATGAGTCTAGGGGGAAGATGGGACCATGCAGGGCGTTGTAGGTATAAGGTGAGAAAACTTCGGAGGGTTTTGAGCTGAAGTGTTAGCAAATATGATATCTATGATTTTAACTTTGACTTTGGGCGTTGGGAAAGCATGAAAACAGGTCAGCTGGAAAGCTACTGCAGTAACCCAAGTCTGATGATGACTGGACTAATTTAGAATCAATGGAGTTAGTAAGAAAAAAATCAGATACTGGATATATTTTGAAGCTAGATCCAACAGAAACATTAAATACAGAGTGAAATAATTTTCAGAAGTAGTAAAGTGCATGGGAGTGGGGCACATGAACAAGCTTCAGAGTGCAGAGGTACAATCTTGATGGCTCGCTTGGCCCATATAGTCTGTTTGCCTTAGATTAGACTTAAAGACTTACACCTTGCAGGTACTGCTCTCTCTCTAGGAATTTGGCATACATTTACTGGGACTGAGAAAACTTAAAGTTGCACCTGAAATTGAATCTTCTTGTGTAACTATAAATTACATTTGTAACAGGTTCAATCATAGCTAAACTCAACTGGCTGAGAATTGTGTTGTTATATTTCCAACTTAGCTTTCAGAGTCATAGTGCTTTGCCAAGCAGCTTGAACATCTGCTAATTTCTAAAACCTTTTAAAAAATATTGGAATGTAAGAGTTTGTAAGAGGACAAAGCAAAAAATACTTTTTTTAAAGCTGGAAGTAAAATGGAAAGTTCTTGATAGTAGTATAATATATTAAAATTGTATGTAAATTTGAACTTAATTCTTAGATGACTATTTGGACCTTTGCTGAGCAGTGTAATTTTCATATCATTTTCTTGATAAATATTTGTTCCTTTTCTATCTAATGTACTAGATAAGAAGGAAAATAATCCTTTATTTCACTTTTTAAACATTTTTCGTAAATATTCTAGTTTTGACTTTTCTTAAGGATGTCAATTTTATTGCTCAGACTTCTTTTATTCAGTTTTATTCAAATGAATTGTTGTAAACTGTTGATACGTTAAATAAATTGATAGCAAACAAACTGTAAGAACTAAAATTACAAAATTCAAATTACAAAATTCAAGTTATCGAAAGCTAATGACATGTACAACTGTCTCTCTAGCTATGTAATGTGTCTCAAGATGTGCTATTTGAAAACTAGAAACTGGAGATGCCAAAGTCAAAACTGATCTGAGCTTAAACAATGACATTGAGTCTAATGCCCTGTTTCCATCTTTTATGCAACTTGTGCTAAGGCTGTATTTTAAAAATATATAGGTTTTCCTAGAGTGAAAGCTTTTCCATGTCTTATTTATCCATTTCTGATTTGCGAGGATTTGATTACTGATGCCTTAAAATCAGAAGGGAAGCATTTTGAAATACTTTCAAAGATATAGTTAATAATTGAGGATAGTCAGCTTCAATGTAGGCAGTGGGTAACATGTTCTCAGAATTAAGGTGCTCTTTTAAAAAATGGTCCCCTTTTAGGGATTTTATCATATACAGAATTGATTAAGCAATCAAACTGTGCTCTGGTTTCAGAGCAAAATGTTAGCCATTCTGCCACTCATTCTTTCTTTTATTACACCTCATTATTGTCTCTTTAGATTCTTTCTTTCTGTTCCAAATGATTTCCTGCCTTATGGCCATCTAAGGAACATAGTGGAAGGGTAAAGAATTAATTAAAGTTCTAATGGCGCAATTAGTAGTAAGCATGAACTGTTAAAGCATTTCCTCAGATGTTTTATGGCTTGTGAGACATCATCTTCACCTCTTCTGACGAATACTGACCACCTGTTATCTATTACCATAACGTTATACAAGCAGACTGACAGAAAACAATCTGGTCTCCAGTGATTGGACTGCTGACGCAATTGACAGGCAGTTTCCACAAAGGTAAACTGTAAAAGCTAAATGAGATGGTGAATAGAAACTCAGGCAGGTGTTTAATGGAGAAACACTATTAAAACAACCCAGAAGTTGTAAAAGGAATGTATTGTTTATGCATATTTTTATGGTATTCAGTTTGTCTCAGTGTTTGAAGACAGTAACTTTAAAACCAATATTCTATGTCACACATTTGTAATTACCTGTATGAGCTCATAACTCGAGCCAGGAAGCATATTGCACTTCGTAAAGAAAGTTTATTATAAAAAGAAGTTTGTTGGCCCTAAACCAGTCTGGGTTTCAAATGTAAAAGTGGGTAGTAATGCTTTACACTAAACAGATGCTTTCTTCTAAACCTGCGGAAGTAAATAAGCTTAAAGAGAAAATAAGCTGACTTTGAAGAGAAAGCATGAATTAGCAGAATTCATTGACTTAAGGGCTGTGTGTTGCTATACTATCCTGCAAGATCTCTTCTGGGTGCTGAATAACACTGAATTTCTAATATGACTCCTTCAATTATTGATTTGTTGCTTGTCTGTTCTCTAGGAAAGTCAGATGAAGATCAGCATGACAGTATTTATAGGCTGCATCTCAACTGTGGGATGTAATCCGTCTTCGTTAAGTTCAGTAAAAGTGATAGATGGCGTTTGGCAGGGTAATGATGTGATCACTCTACCAGCGCCTCTTTAAATCATAAGCTGTTGCTTTCTGTTGTGTAGATATTTAATCAGTTATACACCCCATTACTGATTTAATTCAGAATGTCAGTGGCAGAAGAATAATGTGCGTATTTGTATATTAATATCATATTGTATTAATGCTCCCTTCATTTAAGTGTGCTATTCATTTGAAAATCATAAACTGTTGCTTCATGGGTAGAATAAATTTAATCGAGATGTTAGGTGTCTAGCACCTTCAGCGTTTTAATTCGGTGTATCGGTTAAAAAAATGTGTTCCTTTATGTCTCTGTTCATGCTTTCTTGACACAGTGGATTATTTGATGATATCAGTCCTTGCTATGAGTGGAGAAAAAAATTCTATTAATTTATACCCAATGTAAATGCACTTTAATTTTCAGATTGCAGTAGAGGAGTAGAACTTTGAGAAAATAGTGCCAGAGCAACAAGTTTTGATAGAGAAAGTAGAAAACCTAGCAACAGTTGAATGGAGATACACTAGTAAAACAACCCCAGAAATTCATCAACATTTCTATTTTTTTAGCTAAATGTTATGTTAATGTTAGAGTGCAGGATAATTTTCATGTATGAAAAATCAGGTTCATAGTATTCTAAATGATTTTAAGGAATGAATAATTTGAATAACTGCTATGAATATTTCACATTTCTGCTCTCAATATATTTTTCATACCTTACAATATAGAATATTTATAATCTAAAAAGTTCTTTTTTAAGCAAAATTTGTGGCATTACTATCTTCCAAAGACTTTTCTACTAGCTTTATAGAATCTCATGTTAATTCTAACACTTAGAAAGTCAGAATAAACATCTATAGAGAAACTTGAACACAGTTTCCAATGAAGTTTAATGAGTCCACATAATTAAGTGAAGAAAAAAATTAATTTACAAGCAGACTAATGCATACTCTCTGTCAGCATTACTTTCTTCTAGACATTTAAGCAAAGGGGATAATTGTACCATTTCCTAAAAGAGATCTCCAAGCCTCCGGGGCTTCTTCTAGGAAGTATGTAGTACGGTTAAGCAGTTGTGCATAAATGACCCTGACTGATAGACTAAACAATTCCATCTTAATCTCATCAAATTTTACAGCCTTCATTCCTGTCTTTCTCTCTTAACCCACTCGACAGCTGTCATTTTTGATGCCACCACACTCAGATTGGCTTGGAATGGACAAAAAGCCTTGCACTAATGTGACAGGCTACCTCCCTAACTTTATCAAGATTCATTAACTTCTCAGAGTATTCGTCAGTATTTTAACTAAAATGTTGTCTCTCAACCCTTAGAGTGAATATGATTTACTGTGATGACTCTGTTAGATTTCAAATATCAAAGTGGAAGAAAGGAGAAAAGACAGAGACGGAAAAGAAGAAGAAAGAAAAATATGTAAACTTCTGATTGCAGCAGCCTGACAGATTTTAAACAGGAGACATTTATAATGTTAAAAATGTCTGCTTTGAAGCCATGGAGTAGTTATTTAACAGATCCATCAATCAATCATATTAGTTTATTTGGCGCTTCTTTTTGTCATAAGCAGCGTCTTCATTTTCATTTATTTCAAAGATTTAAATACCTTCTTCATTTTCTCTGTGAAGCTTCCGTAATTTTTAAAGTGATAGAAAGATGGAGTGTTACTTTGTTTTACTTATAATATATTGAAAGCCTCTGCTTTGCCATAATAATGCCAACATTTATTTCTGTAATACTTCTTTCTAACAAACTATAAACTTTACATAGAAATAATCTCATTTATCTTCATAACATATCTAGAGCTGTTAAGGAACTGCTGATTGTTAACTCCATTTTATAAATGAGAAACAAGGCGATACGGGAACTCCCTCCTGGTCACTCAGTCAGCAACATCCGGCGAATAAAAATCGGTTTTCAGTCTTCACTCAGGATCTCAACAGCACTGAGGTTCACATGACTTTCAGTGCTACAGACTTTCAGCCATTCTATTTTTTTCTTAATATGGGTTGCTTCTCAAATTTGCATGTCATCCTTGCACAGGGGCCACGCTAATCTCTGTATGGTTCCAGTTTTAGTATATGTGCTGCTTAAGTGAGCACTCCATTCCTTTTTATATCCATCTTTGCCATTTCTGTGATTGATTTATTTCCTGCAAAAAAAAAAAATACTATACAGACATGCATATATGTATGTATGTAACCAACCCTCCCAAGTGGGTCCCCAACAAGGATCCTTCTGCCCCGTGTTACTCGCATGGATAGCATGAGACAGAGTTTGGTTCAGAAGCAAAGGAGAGCTTTATTGTTTGATCAAAGAACGGAGAGGCGCGAGCTCACCGGCTGGAGTACACCACGCCCAGC